TTAAACCAGCAAATGTCCGGTTTCTGCTTTTGATCGCAAATGCATCATCTTTATTCACTTAACAAATTACTTTAGACACTTCACACGCGGATTGTCCTGAAAATGAAGAATACTATTCAATAGTCTGCCTTTTCAGACCCTAGGGTTTCTACAGCCCAATCTATGAAAACATCCACTGTGTGGACAAAGCTATTCACAGTTGCGAAGGCTACTAATTTGGTTTAGATAACCTTCGGTTCGACGAATATCAATCCCTGTGCAGACAGAGAGTCCTTTGTGGGGATTTGGAGCCGGTTTTCTACTGTTCTGAAGTTGGCCTCAAGCTGTTTATATTAAAGACAGGATGTGGGGGGACCTAATCAAATGCCAAATAGTGAGCCGCGATAAATTTTCAGTGTGTAGCTGTCATACACCCTAAAGTTTCCAGGCCCAAACAGGAGCGACCGTGGATATCAACGACAACCCGATTCACTGATAGTGCATTAAACCGCCAAGCTATCTCCAGTTGTGAGGTGACTCCAAACGAGCCTTCATCGATAAACAGCGAACCAATAGCTAAATCACCAGTGCTACAGCACGTCGTCGTGGTGCATAGTGGATATCGAGTACGAGTCTCTCCAACAACATTTTCCTACACGAACACAAATGCACGCAACGCGTAGGACATCCTTTCGTTGGACTCTACAAATTTACAACAAACTATTCAGCGTGGCCGGGTTCTGAACAGTCTTCATGTTCCTACAGATAGTGACTCATCCAAAAGTAGGCCAAAACAGCGTACCTCAGTAGTCACGATTTAGCTAACGGCTTCTCCCACTTGAAGGTAGAGCCAAATGCACCTTTTCTCTGAAGGGATAACTCTCGGGGAAATGCTGAATACATTCATAATCGACCGAATTCAGTCTTTTATCGGCCACTCATCGCTGCACCATGACAAGTCAAATATTGGTGAGTAGATAGCAGTAACCCACCAATCCATGGCGCTCACGCAGTTTTGGAAACAACAATGCAGGTCAAATAGCTGTTGCACCGGTCAGTGCAGATCTGGAAATTCCATTACGGCACCGAGGAATTAGTAGCTTAGGAAATGTTATTCTGGCTCTCAAAACATACACCTCAACCGATGCTGAAAGACCCTGCTGCGAAATCTCAGTCATGAATCGCATGTTTGAAGAATGACGGCCATACACACGGGGGGGGGCTAACTTACGCATGAGTTACTTTGGTTGTTTCGCGAGAAAAAGACAAGCTCGAGGAAACACGAAGCAACAAGTTCGGATAAATTTCGGCCCGGGCAAACTGGGTAAACAACGCAGCCCGTTCGATGATATGTGAAGTTGCGCCCAACGGACCATATACACGGGAGCTTGTGGTGGATGTGGCGATGTGCTAGCCCAGTCAACAACCAGATGAATCACCAAATCAAACGACCAAAGCGGATCGTGATAAACAATGGTGTTTACAAAGCTGAGTATGAATCGAAGATGACTTGTTTCGAATGGGGCAAATTAGCCTGCGAGAAACTCCATGCAATCGAACCTCCATAGTTCGGAAAAGATCGTGATTGTCATGTTTCTTTTTTTAATTCGGACTCCATCAATGCAGAAAGATGTTCAACACAGCGAATCCGCTCAGAAGAGAGACTGGACAACCATAACGTTTGATACTAAATGCAAAAAAGATATACCACACAAGCCAAGGAGGCGACTTAATATCTCGCTCGGAGTTCTCTACATTCCATATGGCGAGCCCCTTCCCCAGTAAGACTAAATGGCTTTCCTGTGCTTCGCTCGCTCATTCCCTCTTTCAGATCTGGAATGCGAGTCTTTTTTATCCAATGTGATTTTCCTCGCATGATTAGCAGAGGTCAAGTGATGTGCATTGCACAGTTCGAATAATATAGTCGCTCAATTAACGATGGACTGTATGTACGTGTATGGACAAGTATGTAGGATAATATTGGGAGATGACGATAATAGCCGTGGATTTCGTGTCTACAGGTTCCTTTTCCACAGGACCCTGTAAACGTACAATCTAATAATTTTTGAATGGAGAGGGTAGTAATTCAGGAAAACAAATGTTAGAGAACGACGATAAACGGTCTGATCTTTCACCACTTTTCGCGTAAGGATTCATCTGGATCTTACCGCGCAGCCTACTCACTCTGCTGAAATATCACGTCCGACAAATAGCCAGTTTGTTGTAATAATCGACGTGGCGAGAATGAAAGTTGATATACTTCACACTGGCTACATTTACTTTTACACCGTGTCGGGTTGGTTTTCATTGTACTGAAAGCGAAGTTATGTGGACGAATGAGGTTAGAACGGTTGACTCGTGATTCAAAAGTGTGCACAAGACAGCAGCGATCCTTGAGTGCAGCGGTTACCTCATTGAGGTACTGACAGTCAATATACCTTCCTTTGGCGAATAATGAAGTCCAGACACGATTAAAGATAGTTCAAAAGTTTTGGTAAAACGAGATGTGAAATGGCTCATCATCATGCAATAGCAGCCTGGTTCTGCTTAGCTTCCATCAGGCCATTCGGGGAATTCAAACAGTAGTGTTTACAAACAACTGATACATGATTCACTGTTTACCGAGCCAACCTCAGTGCATCCACAAGAACCTCCGACTCTTACCACCCCCATGCAGAATTTTTACCACATGCCGTTTGACTTGAACAAAACTTGGCGACATCCTAGCCTCAAATAACCATGATTGATAGTTATCTGGATGGACGAACACGAACCCCATTCGTGTCCACCATATTAACCAACCATTTGATCCGTATACCGGCTTCGAAAACAACACGATAAGCATATCGCATTACATGGCAGAGCCGAGATGCCGCAGCTGTTCGAAGTTTTGTGTATCTACGGAACCAAATGTGCGCGCCCAACAACGATTGTTGGTGAGAATTCGGACAAAAGCGATTTGTTTCTGCCACTGGGCTGTCGATTTTTGACGTCCAGAAATTAGCATTCTTGTGGAGGTGGGGACGAAAAGGAGAGATGACAAGGAAACGAAAGAAGAATGAATCTTTCTGGACGACTGAGCGGAGACAGTGACATGAAGTTATGGAATGTTTGACTATGAAAGTTCACATAAGCAATAAACTATGCGCTGATAGTGTAAAAAAAATCCGGGTACCACAGTGCCGCAAGATAACTCGGTAGAGCGGTGTTAGGCGTCTAAGGCAGTGTACAACGAAACAAGAATTAGCCAGCGGTTCCAGTGGCAGGCAATAAATTCTTTCTGTGTAGATAAATGGGACAGGAGCAGCGACACGAAAACTTGGATTTGATTGTTTTTCAGCTCTCACTCAGCCCTACCTGAAGGACCCACAAATTCTAGCATAGATTAGTCCCAGGTTTACGAACAGTGACCCTCCAATGGGGCTTTTCTGTAGAAAAGAGTCGCTTGGGCGTGAGTGATAACACTTAAGTCATCCAACTACTACATGTACTCCATTCCCACACAAACCCGAACAACCTGTAACCATTTTTGTCGCGTTGTCATGGTAGTAAGTAGGCTAGAAACAAAACTCGGGGAAAAAGTGAACACGGAAATCCGACCCAGCCAAATCTGTCCAGTTTAATGGTGCTCACAGCAGTAGCTCCAATCAAGCTGTAGGCAGTGTCAAAATTTCCACAGTCTGCACCAAACGGCTAAAAAGTATAGAGATAACCGCATTGGGTGAAACACTTTCATTCATAAAGTGGGAGTTTACGAAAATTGATTGATCATATGGTCGAAGCATCTTACGGCTGCTTGGTCTGAAAGCAGGGCTACTGACAGGGTGATGCAAGGGGGAGATGCTGAAGACAGTACAATGAAGCACACTAGAGCGACCACTTCTCAAGGGTAGTCTGATTTTTGTTGGTCTTAACAGACCCCCAGTTAAACTAAGACGAATGCTTACGCTTATGATAGCAACTGTCAAATCTCTCTGCTTTACGTTCCCTATGATATTGGTGTGTTCATGAAGGACCTGCTTTTAAACACATCTCTCTTGCCCATTATATTCAAAGAAAAAATGCACACCTCATCGACACCCCTTCAATGGCCAATAGTTCCGAAACAATTTCTTAACCACTAACACGTTCTCGTCTTTTGGACGTATCGTCTCCTCCCTTATTTCACTGTTGCTACTCTGGCGCTTGTTTCTCCTGTCCCGTCGCCTGTGCCTTCCAACCAGATTAGGCGTCTTTGTTCATGCGACCATTCAATTCGACTTAAAACTAGTGTCGAGAACGTTCCGCTTTTGAAACTTTTCGTCACTGTCTCTATTAACTTCTAAAGGATTGAATTAACGTCCATCTCAACCCACTTTGGAGTTTGGGTTATTTCATATTACCATGCTGTCTTCCTGATCATTTTCACCGGGGGACTACGGTCGTATATTTCCTCTTCCTCCGTAACTGACACCTTGAAATAAAAGATTTATCTGCCTGTCATCATCTGCACTCTTCCGTTCTTAAAATGAACAAATGGATGCAAATAATTTATTTCGTTCGACGAATAAACCAGTGGTCGAGATGGCCCAAGTGGTTAGAGCGCGAATTTACTGACCGGAAGGTCTGTGGTTCGAATCCGACCTCCGCCAATCGACTTCCCCTGTCTAGGCTTGGGTAACCTGGCAGTATCCCAGCCCTCGTGCTTCCTTCGGGTGGCATGGCAGCTAGGCACCGAAAGGGTGCTACAGCTGAACGCTGAACGCATAAAACCACGGTATAGACCTAGCCATCAGAACAGATTTTTTACCAGACCGTCGGTGTTTACCATACTTGAGCTGTACGCGATACGTAATTCATGAGAAACACCCTCTATTTACCCCAGAAAACTGGCCTAATATCTGCATAAAACCTTTTAAAACATAGTACACAGATTGAGGCAGAAATTGTTGATTAATCTAGTACGTCCCATGGCATCCAACTAGGGTTAGAGATATATGACGGGTGTCTAGAATATTTCATCAGTCACCGAATCGACTTACCTGTTGACAAATCACCGTGGCGTAGTGTCCAGGGTGTGAAGGTCTGAGAAGCCCGCTAGGGCGAATGGTGTTAGACTGTAGTTGGCCGGTGGATTGTTGCGGAGAACTGTCATGTGACCAAGTCTTGAAATGAACAGGTGGATTAAGCGGCCTAGTCAAATTGGTCTGACATACAGGCGCGTTGAGGTGATGTGGTGACGATGACGACCGAACAAAGCCATTCGGTGGTGGATTGGGTGAGAAATTTTGATATAAATGACGTCTGCCATTGCAGATCTGGAATCGTGGTTGATTGGGTAGACCAGCAGTCACGTAGTTTTGATCGAAATAAACTGGATGAGGTGGCTGCTGTGATTGCATTATCTATTCAAATGGCTGTCGGTCGTAAACCTATGCCCCAAATCCAACGTGCACATTCAGACTGGCACCGCAGAGGGCTTGCATCAGATGTTCATTGTGCTGTACGCAAAGAAGGAAGAACCGAGTAGTCACATCTAGGCATGAAAGAAAAAAATGAACGACTTCTGTGCAACGCCTCACCACCAAAATGAGCTTTTATCAACTGGGACAAATGAAAGAGGCAATGAAAGAGCTCAGGTGTTAAATGGGGCTAACAACTTCAATTTTGGGCGTCCAACACAGACGATGTCATCTAAGTTCAGCTCGATGTTTTGTTGAGGTACCCAACCGTTGTGCATACTAGAGATGTGAATGCGAGAAGTGACCCGTAGAATCTCATACAACATCGCTGTCTCGAATGACTCTTTCCTAAATTTCCATGTAGACAACTATCTCTCTTGGACAAGCTCAAACTTCTGGAGTCGCAAATACCGCTGATGTTCCATCCTGTACTGTTGGAAATCGAACCATTTATTGATGTCTCCTCACCTTCCACAGTTCACAATTTTAAAACCGTGTGCGCACGTGCAGTGAATCGGGTCATCACAGTCAATGGCAGCAGCCAGTAAGATAATGGGGTAAATGAAATTGAAATAGAAAACAACGGCGGGTTAACGAAAAAGAACAAATGAACGGATCCACCGCCACTGGCCTCACGACATCGCTGTATCAATGAGTAAATCCAACTGTTCATAAGGTGAGTACTTCACACCCCAACCCAGCAAAAGACATGCACAGAGAGGCCAAGGCATTTTATTACGCCTGTCATCCTGAGTACTCAGGTCATGCACTGTCTGTCTTGTGATATCTTCCGGTCAGCACCTGCTCGGCAAACACTGTACGGGGAGGCAATCGATCGCCTGGTGTACGCAGCACATCACCGAGCCAGCGTAGCTGAAAAAGTCCAATCAACTCGATTGAATAAACAATTGATTTGTTGCCAAAGCCACTAACCACACTTCAGAACGGCCGACTCAATGTCTTCAGGATACACTTGTAATCCCTGAAAGGCAGCGCTGGTGAAAACCGTTCCTTGTCTTCAACGCAAAGCGGCCAGCCTTCATAAGTCTAAATCAAAACTGGACGCACTACCACGTTGGAGGAAAAACGCATTCGGTTCAGAGACAGCCCACATAAATCTTTCGAAAGGAAAGGGTGTGAGCAAGGTCTGTTGACCTATCTTAAAGAGTATGAACTTTAAACGCTGTTGCGTTTCCTTGACGTCAGTAGTTCATACTTAAAAGCTACTTTTGGGCAGAAGGCTGAAGCCTCAAACAGACGGGGATGCATCGGTGTATCGATATGAGTAGTAACAAGGGAAGTGGTTAATAAATTAAGGAGAGCTCTGGAGCTGCGTGGGCAGACTTCCCGAGTACCCAGGCCAGAGAACGAGGTTTAGGTGAGGCATCCTACTGTGAGTGTCTCACTGAAAAGTCTGACCCGCAAGGCTGTAAATCCTTTTCGGTACCTAACTGCCATGTCACTCGAAGGAAGGGCTGAGGTACCGCCAGGTTGCTTGTGGTAATGGGTAAGAATTTTCTTGGAAGACCCTGCCCGGAGCCAGTGATTCAAAAATAACTCACATGGATGTGGGAGTAAGGCATGGATGCTTGACTCTTAGTGTGATTCAGCATCGATAATTCTATAATTATGGACATTCTGGTTGCCTAAAGAAAACACCGTACTGCATTCACACTCGCAACGCAAAAGGAAGTATGACTGTTGCGAGTACTTGTAGTATGAAGACTTCCTGTCTTTGTCTGGTTGCTCCGCCTTGACCTTTATGGCATAGTTGAAATTTGAGTGGTGAGGTTCCAGTAAGTATAGACTGTGGCATCATTACAGCACTCAAGTCTGACCACCACGTCATGGTAGTAGCACGTCTGTGGGACGAAGAAGAGTGAACCAACGTAACCACGCTAAGGCAATCGAATAATATGATGACTCAGTACGCAACCGTAGCTAAACGATTAACTTCAATCTCTACGTCCATAAATAAATGTCAGTTGAGTTCAGTTCAATTTAGCAGATATAAGCCACGCACTAGGTGTGCGTTGATTCCATGCTGCTAGTTTCAACTGCCGGAAAATGGGACAGTGGTAGATACAGCTAACCATTGGAGGAAACTGCATACTCGGTTAGTTCGGGAACTGGGCGGCTACGCAGTGAAGGCGATAGGTCTGATACATGAGCGCCACTGACTGCGTGGCTCATCATCAGCATCGACAGCATGACATCAGTGTTCAACACCGATGCTTCACTGCCGTACAACCATAACTTATTTGAAAG